TAGAGAACGAGATGTAGAACCGTCTCTACCGTGCCCAAGTAGCTCGCGCTTAAACCGCGGTACAACCCAGGGATTCCCTCTTTCCGCAGCACCTTTTGCACACAGTCGAAGCTTCCCTTATATTGACACATCGTAGTGCCGCGAATGGCACGTGATCTGTCGAGTTGGAGCCTGGTCTTCACAAGCCAAACGGGATTCGTCGCTGTTGCGGTGGCGATGCTGGCGGCAACGGCGGCGTACGCATGTATGATAGGATCGTCCTCCTTGTGGTTCAGGTATCTAGCTGCGAGGAGCTTGGTATTTCCGTACACATAGAACTTTATGGCAGTTGCAGGAACCACGCCGGCCAGACTGGGCCCAATGCCGCGGAACAGTCCACGCCATCCCTCGTTATTCTTGATCGTGCGCAATATGTCAAACGTTTCGAAAACGTGGCCCAGGGTGGTTCGGTAGAGGCGAGAGTGCGAGGGTTGACCGGCAACAGTCGGTTGCGATGAAGGCAGGTAAAGGTCGGACTGAAGTCGAGTTCGTAGGACGTCGAGCGGAGAAGTGAGAATAGAGGTTGCAGCACCACCGGTCCTAGAAAGAATCAGCTTTATGGAGGCAATGAATTGTGAGATTTCTCACGCGCCCGCCGCCAGGTGCACCAAGGGTTGAATTCGTCGCTTTTGTGTTGTGTTGACCTCAAGTGAGGATTGCGTTGTGGCTGTCATCATGACGGTCTTACCACTGACAATCACTTCTTAGGAAAACTTTTTGGCAAACCCCCGAGGACGGGATGGGTCGGCTCGGTGTTATATATATCCGCTGAACTACACATTCCCATCACTCTGTGAAGATCGACCAATGAGAATAAAACACAGGAACAGTGACCACCAAGGGCCGTCACCCTCATTAAAAAACCCCCTGTTTAGGGACAAAAAAGAGTGGCGGCGGCCCTATCCACCTACAGCCTCACCACGAAAGCATCACAGCTGGGCATCAAGTCTGCCCTGTGCCGCTGCATGTTGTACAATTGACTTTTCCAAAGGCCCCACAGCCGTAGCAGGTGTATGGCTCAGTACTAGTGGAGCCCGTGCCATAGCAACCTGTACACGACACCTTTCCAGACCCACCGCAAGAAGTACATGTAGCCATAGCGATTGAGATGGTTGGAGCTAGACCACATGTGATTAGCGAAGGCGTAGATAGAATACTTCGGCTGCGCACCTCGAGGTTACTGCGTTTATGAATGGGATGATATGAATCCACGGATGTATATTGATGGAGGATGATGAGGTTGAGAGTAGCGAAGAGGACAACAGTTTTCTGTGAGAGGATTTCGCTCCATATATATCTTTGAGAGAAGGACAACGGTGGTCTCTAGCGTTCAGTAGCCAGATGTAGAATTCGAATCTCTATGCAAGTAGAGTACGTCTCGACTTGCTATCTTCCTCGGTTGCCGAGTCACAGCTAGAAGAAAGGGATTCCGACAGTTGTGGTGCAATTTACCGGCACCAGGTGCAACTACTGCCTAGACTATCGTTGCACCTTGTACACGGCAACATGTATTTCATGCGAGCGCAGTGGTAAATGCGCCAGCGTTCCCCTGCGCCTGTTGCACCGGTGCACTCCGATCTGGCACCTGTGCACTAATTACCACACCAGGTGCATTTAGCTCTTGAACTAGTGCTGCCACAGCTTCCCAATCTGTGCTCGCTTCGAGGCTTCGGCAAAGCCCCACAAGCACCATGCTCGTTGGCTGTGCTTGACTGTGCGGGGTCTCCAACACCTATGTCCATCTCTGATCAAACAACACGCCTGCTTTACTAGCTTCTCAACTTCATTGTCCCGTACTGAACTATGTCGGAACCTATCTTCGGATGCACGGTATGCCTTGCGAAGTTTGATTCTCGTGAGAAACTTCGCGAACATGCATGGGCTTTTCAAGTAAGAGTCGTCTCACTTGAATCACAATCATTAGCCTAACGCGCGAAACAGACAGAGATAGCGACATCGATTGCGAGATTACAGGCAGTTTCTGCACATCAGCGGCCAGAAACTGTACGGACTTCAGGCGAGACTTCCAGCCGGAGTAGTCAAAGCATCATTGAATGCACTGTGTGCTGGGAACCTTTCACGACTCATGAGGAAGTACGGGAACATATTTGGGCCTTTCAGGTGAAGCTTAGCACTACAACGTTGAGCAAGCAATCTTACAGGCTTTGCAGACACGCTTCGCGGCCTTATTTTCTCAAATCCACGCCCTCCTCCTCCATCAGCAGCTCGAGTGTAAGAACAGCGAACCACAAGACTCTGGTAATGACTTTGAGGATGTCTCCGACGACTCCGACAGAGGTCAGCATCCGTCGATAGAGATGCCAAGCGGGTGCCCGCACAACGACTGCGCTAGCTCAAATAGGCTTTTCAAAAGAAAGCAGGAACTCACGCGGCACTTTGGAAGGCGTATTGTCCCCACGCATCCTCTCAGGATTCATTACTGACGAAAGCTAGATTATATCTGTAAGGAATTCTGCCCGTTTTGCACAACCACCTTCACTCAAGCGAGTAAGTTTTGGACGCACAAATGTGCAAGAATTGGGCCGACAAGTCAAAGGAAATTCATCAAGAAACGTTGTCTGGAATTACGACGCATGGCAAGGAAAGAGTTATTTGCAGTAAAACAAAAGAGACAGGCATCACCTGCGACAGGTCGTGGACTTCATGCAACACAGAACACTGAGCCAGCAATCGCTCAAATAGCCGGGGAAGAATTTCACGGAGATCTCGCTCAAGTGCAACCTATCCCGGCCAATGGGCCTGTGCATCAGGCAACGGCACTTCGAGACAGCGCGTATATGCAACCAAATTCAGCAAGCCAGCTCACGACTATGATCGGCCCCGATCACAATTGTTTATCCTTCGGAGTTGTCAACCAGTCGCCACCACCTCATTCGCAGCATCGCCAGACTCCCATCTGGTTTGATGGCAGGTGCAGCTCAGACCGACCTGGGCAACTACATATTATGTCGACTCCGCTGTGGCCCATGAGCAACATGACCACGAGCAACCAGGCCCTATCGTTCGGCGTAGAAGCAACGTCGCTCGTGGGATTCTCTGACTCAGTGGAAGTGTTCCAACAAATGGATCCCGCGGCATACTTGTAGCTACGAGATCAAATACATTGAGCCATCCCGCGTATCAAATGTTGTCATGAGCCCCGTGTACCAGTATCATTATTCGTGGGGCTTTCCAGCCCATATGCGCTTGTAAAACCGGTTTTAATTTGGAATGCGTGCCTATAATGCAGGATTGCGCTTGGGTTCGTCAGGAATCTGGGTGGTTGGTAAGAGCGGAATCGAAGACTCACATGCCGCCTTTATCCATTTGGACGTCGATTGGCTCGCAGCCGTTCTTCCTCAAGGAGGCCAGCGGAACCTCGAGCAATCCATTTGCAGCCAACACACCCTTCAACGGCTTCTTGTGTGAGCTGTCGTAGAACACCACACGCGAGCCAGCCCCCCACATGTGAACCACGACTCGATCCCCATGAGTTGGACCGAGGGCAAACGCAAATATATGACCTGGATCGCTACCGAAGGAGCGACAGACTTGTGGGTTGGGGTGCAAAAGATATGGCCGTAAAATAGATTGGATACGCTGCTCTAGGTTAGAATACTAAACGCCCTTTGTTTCCAGTACATACTTCATCTCCAATAATGCAGCCGCTGAAGAATTTAAAGCTATCCGGGCTGCTGGACAGTCCCTGCTGGTCTAAGGCGTCCACGATCCCTCCAACTGCTGCATTCTCCGTGTAGAAAAGGCCGTGTTCCCTGAAAAACTCGAGGGATGCAGAGGCCGTCACTGATTTTGAAACCTCTTTGGCCCCGAATATTTCCTCTCCGTTGGATGTCGACGGTGCGTCCATAAGTTGGGGTATTCGGAGCATAGTAAAGTAATTCGTAGCTGACAGGCTGAACAGAAGTTGTTGATGAACTGGCTTGCGACGTAATGATCTTTAGGCACAAATTAGGCGCCAGGTCATTTTCTCGGATAAATGGAAACTCCGCTACACCGCTTACTAGAATTGGCACTACGGATGTTGTCCTTCACTGATGCAATAAGCGCCTCTTAAGCTAGACTTGCCAGAGGGTGTGTGTCACTTGGTGTCCTTCGAAATGCAATTCCGACGCAACTCTCGCAAATGGACCCTGATTTCACCTTCATAGTTTTCAAAATACATCCTCTACCCAACAAATCTGACCTGTGCAGCTCAAAGATCCCGAACTTGCTGTATATCGTTATTCTCATCACTTTCATAGTACGTCTGACTTCCTTTGTTTGCTCGTCTCTGAGGAGAACTGACATCATCTCTAGTTCTCAAGCGCAAATTTACGCATATTTTCAAGCATGGTCGAATGCCCCGCTTGCAAGGGAGAGGGAATGGTTGCCGGGTTCATTTGCGGCAGATGCAAAGGAAAAGGCGAGGTTTAACGGACGTACATGCAGTCCATCGCACCAACCTGGAATCCAAGCAAAAGGTCGATGAGACCGTGATGCAGACGACTCTTGCGACGGATTTTGGTCGACACGGGAAACTCTCCGATATCTGCTGGCTCATGTGAGCGAGCAGGCCTCGGGGTATGAGGGGAAGGTGCAAAATTATCAGCACCTTTGGTGCAGCTAGCACGGGTGCAAACTTAAGTGCACCAGTGCCTATCACGGGCTTCTGTGGGTCCGCCAAGAATCCAATTACGTTGCAGTGGACCCTCTAGTCGATCGCGGCATTTTGTCCAATTACACAATTTCAACGGGCAGTAACTCGGACCGTTCAGTCTTGAGAAAAGTGATCCTCGCATAGATTCGCCAAATTCTCCTGCCCAAATAGAGAGTTGGAAGGGAGGAATTCTCACCGTTGGTTGGCCTTGGCTTAGTGCGGGTCAGCTCTGTCAAGCTATCTCAGTTGCAACGGGCAAGGCATTCATCATATAAATACTTGAACTATTCCGTTCATCATTCAGAGCCTTGGCCAAAACAAGTATGCCCGGTCCATGTCAGTGCTGGTGTGGTTGTCGAAAACCTGTAGACACTCAGTGTTCCAACTTCTGCAAGTGGTGTTGTCAACATTGTCAGACGTAATCACAGACCACTCGATTTACACCATGCATCATCCAGTTCCTCCGAGTTCCCACCATGTCTCCATGATGGACATCTTCTTTCCGGGATTCACCGGTGCCAGCGCAGCGCTCCATCAGCTTCTCGACGGAAACTTGGACAGCTATGCTGGCTTGTTGTGTATCTGCGGATTGCTGGTGTTTTGTGGCAAATTCCTGTCTGCGACAGTGGGAGGATTTCTGGCCACTTACTTGAGTTAGTGACTTTTCCTTTTCAGCGATTTATTACATTACTAACCTTTTGCAGCTTCAAGGACTGAAGTCTACGATCCCGATGAGGCATATGACATGCTAGAGTCGTGGGTTTCTGCTCAAGACTTTTCCAGAAACGCCATCTCCTCGCTTGCCCGTATTGACAGCAGGCAAGGGAGGGTCCTGGGTCATGTTGACTCAGACATAGTGGACAAAAAACCTCTTCGATTCACACCTTGGGGGGAGCGGCTGTCTTTCCGGTACAAGGGACACCGTCTCACTCTACAATGCACGCAAAACGAATCAGTCCTATTCCCACGCAAATCGATGACAATCTCCTGCATTGGACGCTCTTCAAAAATCCTTTGGGATCTGATGAATGAGTGTCGTCTGGAGTATCTAAGGCGGTCTGAAGGCAAAACCTCGATTTTTGAGAATCACAATAACGGTTGGAAAAGAACCACTACTCGGGACGTCAGACCGATCGAAACCGTCATCATGAACGAAGAGTTGAAGCAGGTGCTCCTGAAAGATGTCCGGTCCTTCCTCGACCCTAAAGCTCGTTCATGGTACGCGAATCGCGGGCTACCATATAGAAGGGGCTACTTGATGTACGGACGCCCAGGAACCGGAAAATCCAGCCTCAGCATGTCCGTTGCGGGTTGCTTCGGACTGGATATCTACGTCGTCAGTCTTGCCGCGATCAATGACGGGCACCTCAATACCCTGTTCAGGGAGCTTCCTCAACGCTGTGTCGTTCTGCTGGAGGACGTTGACGCAGTCGGCACATCACTATCTCGAGACACAGATGCGGACAGTTTCGACTCAGGATCGGAGGTGTCACGGCGGTCACCCAAATCACATGGGACTGTTTCGCTGTCCGGACTTCTAAACGTCCTTGACGGCGTGGCTTCTCAGGATGGGCGTGTCCTCATCATGACTACAAATCACATAGAGCATCTTGATGACGCTCTCATACGATCAGGCCGCGTTGATAAGAAGATCGAACTTAAGCTTGCTGACCATGATGTGGCCCGAAAGCTCTTCTGTCATGTATTCGAACAGTCGGGAGAAGAGCTTCTTAGCTCAGAGAAGCGAGACGGCAACAACCAGGAAGTCCGGCAATTGGCTCTCCAGTTTGCGGGTCTGATACCTGAGCTCGAGTTCAGCCCTGCCGATATTCTATCCTTCCTTCTAGCAAACAGGGACTCTCCTTCAGGGGTTTTGGCTAACGTGGAGAGATGGGTGTCCCGTACTAGAGGGGAGAGAGCACTGAGAAGGGGTGGTGCTTGGGTCCAGAGCGATTGAATTTGGTCGATATGTGTATCGCACATGCCTTCAATAGTCTTATTTTGCGATTAGCCATCACTCCTTACTGAACGTAAAACCCCCAGATAGCTTAGTCTTTACGACATATGTCCTGGGTCCGCCCTTCCGTTCCCCCCTTCTGTGACCACACTTTACCCTTGCCAAAGACGCACAACAGTATTTCAGATAACCAAGCATGCCGTACACGGCGACATAGCTTGGGGACATAAACGAATTAGAGGCGTTTACAACCATGACGTGTTATGCCTTAGGCAAGTCCTAAGGGAGCTGTTCCGCAAGGCCAATTGTGACACAACCACATTCTATGAAGTGCAATTTACGCTTATGTTTCTTGCAATAAAGTCGCAGACGTTTTCGCTGAAATCGCGTCTGCGGTTCTTTTCCTTCATGGTGCTAGAACCGCTTCGCCATAGCTTTCCCGCAACGAACCATCCTTCATTTCAAATCAATAATCAACTATCTCTTATGACGCGAACCTTACTGCAGATAGAGATGAAGCTGGAAAATTCCTTTGCTGGTTGACGGCATGGCCGTCGAAAGCCGAGCAGACGTGCCAGGCAACGCCTTTATTGTGTACTTCCACCATTCTAGAGAGTCCGCACTCCTTCTTCCGGCCAATGAAATGGCTGTATAAAAAGGCCAAGTACAACGTGACTGACGTGCATGAGTGCGCGGCAGATGCGGCCTACGCTAAGCCAGGCAGCAACTATGACCTGCAGCATTGTCGCACACCTCTACACGACAATTGCCTCAGCGTATTGTTCTTCACTACCGTGAGAACTTACGAAACTCGCATTTGAGTTAGCCCGTGCACTCAACGCGTTAAGCCTCTCTCAGTACCAAACACTTGCTGATCTCCGCCACTGATTGAGAATTTCGTTCTGAATAGAGGCACGTATTTGGTTTAATGTTTGTGTAAGACAGCGGGAGCACGGGTTAGCGTAAGTTCGAGTTTTTGTGAGTTTCTAAGGCACTTACTTGGGCGTCTTCTCTATACTCTGGCGTTGCCCAATTTCTGCGGGCGGTTATCCCCCACTTGGAGGGCGGCGCCTTGGTTCGGGCCCATGTGTAGCATCTCATACGGGTTTACTACTAGAGGCAAGTCGGTGTCGGCTAAGAAAAACAATGTTGGCAGGTCCGTCCATTTCTTGAGTGCTCCAAAGGTGCACCATGCACCGGCCCGGAATATGAGTGCTCCACAAAGGCACTTCGATTGGAGTACTTGGAAGTGTGCATTCCCTCTCCACTTCAGATATCAGTGCATTGAAATGTGCACCATGCACAACCAAATGCACTAAGACACTTTCATACTCGAACTATAAGGACATCACATCCTGGTTTCTTTGGGCGAGAAAGTCACCGCATTAATGCTTGCCAGAAAAATATTATAACAGGTTTAATCACATTCGGGGCAAGGGTGTGATGGCTTCAGCATTTATGCAGAATGTTCACATATCATATGATGAAATGCAATGCTTCAGCTACAGGGGCACAACTACTAATTATTATTGTTTTTCGATGGTCTTGAAATCTGGGGGCTCGGTGTAGATCACCTTCGACATCAACTGCCAGCCTTCACGGAGTTTTCGGCTGGGCTCCAGACCAAATAAGAAATGGACGATACAGTTGAAAAGATCGAAATATCTTGGGCTGCGTCCGGTTGAATTTGCATCTTGTGCAGATCCAACCCTCAGATGTCACGCCTTCTGTACAGTACTGACAGCCAGGCATGGTTACGATTCAATTCCGTTCTGCAACGTCAGTACCGCCTTGAGCGACATTCTTCAGGTAAAGACTCACTTCTCGTGGTCGGGGAGTTTGGTCGGAGAGAGATAGAATCGCCACCCGCGTTGTCAAAGAGGAGGTGGGCAGAATGGAATTCATATGTAGTCCAGAGGTGGCGAACTAATATATGCGTGTGACTCGAAATAGAATCGGTTAAATGCAATGATGAAAATTCAAGCGCTGCGGAACAATCTTTTTACAGGACCATTGGGCCTCAAGGTGCCACGAGGCTATCGACCCGACATATTAGGTACATCATTCAATGCTTGTTTTTCCGCCCTCAATGTGGAAGGCTTGCATCAACAACGATGGCGACAACAGCCTCCAACGGCGGAATAGTCGGTATCTTTAGCGACACTGGAGTCTTCTACCTGGAAGATGAGCACATCGGCAAGCTGGTTCAAGAGGTGGGTGATCGTGGGCTCTCTGCCAGTCGCGAAAGTTGGAACTTTTTCGCAGACATGACTAATGGCAACCTTGTGACAAATTCAGAAGGCTGATGAGGGAAAAGTTTGATGATTGGAGCAAAAGTATATCCATCCTTTCTCCCCGGTTGATTGATTGATTGATTGATTGATTGATTCCTACTCGATTATTGAGCCGCTCTTTTGTCAGCAGCTATGCCCGGATAGCGGCGTCCGGCAGACATCCGAAGCGTTCAAACATTAATCCGAGCCATCACCAATCCTTTCTCCCCGGGTAGGCTTGGTCATCAGAAAAAGGGTGTCACGTGTATTCCTAGCAATAGACCAATCGCATTTCTGCACTGAAAGCCCACAGATCAGGCTACGACAGGGATATCGTTACCATCAGATGATAGGACCGTCTTTTCACATCCCCTGTCCGGCTCGAGGAGCCGCTGGTTTACCTGCCGCCCTGAAACGATTGTTAGAGAAAATTTTGTGGAATCGCTGCTTTCTGTTTCTCAGATGACTGGTGAATATTGGCTTATCAGTCGCCAAGCTGAGCGTAGCGAGAAGCTGGAACCGGACGGAGCCATACCTCCGAGTTCCATACTAGCGCTAACGTGGGCTTACTGCTACAGAGCTAACGTATAACCCTAGGGGTACTGCACGAACTCCACTAGCATTGAAACGGGCGAGGATTCGCCGAATCGCTGGCTGAACGTCAGTGTTAGACTCGCAGCTGCCAGGTGCACGAATTTATGCACCTAGTCGGGTGGGCGAGTGCACAGATTTGAGCACCTCGAAAAACTTGTGGATCGGCTGTATTTCCGATTCTGGGAGATGCGTACGAGGAGGGCCTTTGTCCTGATCACCAATGACAATGCTTCTGGTTGAGCCTGTCATGCTCTGCGCTATAGCACAGAGCAGTGCTATTCTTCAGGACACCGATGAGATGAGCGAAAGCCCGATGCCTTGATGTCGTCTGAATTGAATGCGGAAGGTGTTGAGTTCAAAGAAGGAGGGTTGTCAAACTTCCCCTGAACCACGGTTCACATGAGCCTACTTAAGAACCAAGCCTCCCTCCATCTTTTCGTGGTCAATATTTACATTGTCCCCATCAGATGATGTGGAATAAAAAGCCTCAGTTCTTTTCTCAACACTCTCGGAAAACATTCAATACGAGTTCACTCACAACATGGACTCTCCCGGTGTGCTCCTTTACAGGACTGCGCAGTTGAGCATACAGCGAATTGACAACGTCACTCTGAGCACAGAGGGGAAAGAGCTTCTGTACGTGACGCCCGACGGCTTCATCGGCGGAACAGGCTTGTTATCAGCCTATCTGATGCAACAGGATATGATGGATGAGCGGGCAGAAATCACTCATTACTCTGCCCAGCCCATTTGCAATCACGCGCGGAACTTCCAAACCAAAGCCGGCAGCTTGTAAGTGTCTTGCCTGTGGTCTGATCAATAGGCTAACTTGCATAAGTCGATTAATCTTCACGTCGCAATGGCAAGAGTTTGCTCAGTTGCACAGGTACATATCTCGTGAAGGGCCTCGATACATGGCAACGACCAGCTTCCCTCGAACACCTGGGGAAGTGATTGTCCAAATGTTTCCTTCTGGCCGGATGATAGGCAGAGCGAGTCAAACTTGGTTCAGTCACCGGGACTCGCCCATTTTATGCTCGATCGATATCGATATCCAAGAAAACGAACGAATCGTTGTTTTCAAGCCACAAAACCAGAGACTAGCGCCGGTGATATCTCAGGCATTGCCAATCATGACGACTGTTCTAGATGAATCAGCTGCGCAGCCGAACATGTGTCCCGTCACCAAGTCTGATTACCCAGACTTCAAATCGTCAAAAGGAGCCTCTTGGATCACTTTTGACGAAGACCATGGTCGAGAAACCATTTCACGTTTAACCACGATTGACGGTGGTTCTCGTAAGGCATGCTTCAGAGCCGGCAGCCCGTACCTTCACGACAATGTCGATTTTCCAGCAGAAGCTACTGAGCAGCAGTACAATCAACGGCTCAACTTACGTACGCAACAGAATCTTTCCGAACACGATTTGAATACCGGTATTGCAACGTCAGATCAACACCCAGGCATTGGTCATATGAAAGGCTCTCCGTGTCAAGGGGATGCCGAGGCTGACTTGTGCATCGTTGTCAGGCCCTGGGAAGGATGTGAACAGGCATGTACTTGATTGGTCTCTATACGACTCGTTTGTGAAGCCTTTGATCACGATGGGGTCTAATGTGAGAGGGACGTCAGAGTCGGGCTAGTCGATTCATCAGTTCATATTACTCGGCTGTACAATACAGAAGCCATGCACTTCAAAGCGATTTTGTCAAGTTGCTCTGGGGACTGGGTTGCTTGGCCACCCAACTTTTGGATGACCGGTCAGATCAGTGCCGCCCCCAGACAACAGTGAAAAGAAATATGACATGCTCAATGAAACCTTATGCTTGCATCATGCATTTCGATACGGGTGTACCGCCGAACAAATACCAACAGTTTATTCATGTTTTGAAAAGTGGCCTAATCAGTGACATCGCACACCAAATACAAGTTTGCATGTAATAGGATATCTTGCTGGCAGGGGGTCCCCCGTTATGGTATGGAGCCAACTCTGGCCTCCATGTCATCAACCTCTGGGGTCTTGAGTGTGTTGTTCGGTTTGGATTACCCGACCTTTGTTAGTAGAGATGAAGAACAACCATCGATATGAGGGTCCACCAGCACAAGCGCCTAGTGCCGTCTTGGCGTTTACACTGCCGAAACTTGCCCGGCCAGTGTATAATTTTCGGACATGCATAGTGCATCCATAGGAGGAGCCAATTCTGGATTTTCTGGAGCAATACTGTACTGCTTGACGTTCTCTTAGGTCTGCGGGTTTGCGTGAACGAGCCTGTAGTGCTAGAAGTGACCTTGGGACACAAAATAGAGCCAGAAATAGCTGACGCAGCCACTCAAAATATGGACGCTGAGGTCCCACTTGGCTCCGTAAATTGTTGGCAGGGTTATGGGAAGAGCGTCATTTGCAGCGCCTGGTTTCTCGCATTTCCATATTGTACAGTTTGATAATCAGTTTGGCAACCCACGAGCCTGCCGGGCGTAGCAGCTCAGGGGCGTGATCGGTCATGTCTATCTACACTGAGTCCCAGGTAAGCTCAACGCAAAGCACGTCAATTGCTCCGACTTGCAACTTGAATCTGACTCCTCATCTCCTCTCATTGGCATTACACTGAAATCGTTTCCACGTACTGAGTCATCTCACACCTTCCTAGCCACATTGACAGCGGGCTCCTGCTGTGTAGTGTTCACCTATCCCGATATGTGACACACCACAGAGTCTAGTCCTTTCGCAAATCTTTCGCTCCCTTGGTTCTCTGATGAAGTCGATTTCCCCAACATCCCCCGCTTCCTCTTCTTGTATTGACGGTTCGAACTGAGCAAACCGAGAGGCGGCGGCTGACATCCGCCCGCTCAAAGTCCACCACCACAATACCTCTACCCGCTGTACTGTGATTGCGTAACACGTTGCGTAGCTTTGCGTCGCCATGAAGAACACCTAATCTATGTAAGTTCTTATACGCCTGGGTGACTGCATCAATGTCGGCTTTGGTTGCTTGATTGGTAGGGTCAAACAGAGGCGTTCCGGCCCAACTGAGAAACAAGACATGCTTGTGTACGCCACTGTCGTAATACAACGGCAGGGTTAAGTCTGTCCGTGCCAGGCTGACGGGAACAAATTTTCCCTGAACCGAGCGGAGTCGATCGTACACCTCATTCTCATGGCGAAGGCGGGCCAGATCGAGTGTCTCAACGCCTTTGGCGACGAGAGTGTAGCCATGGGAGGACACCCTAACCTTAAAGAGTGAGCCGGTTGAGCCGGACAGGTGAAGTGGTACGACGTGAGCATCATAACCACGGTCTTTGGCTAGTTGAATACGGATGAGCTAGTCGGTTTAGGTGCTGATGTCCGTGATCCTGGAAATTCGGGCAGTGTTCGTCCGGGAGCCAGCCGTTCACTAATCCGAGCAGACATTGCGACGTACGAAACTGACGATCCTTTATGTTTATCTGCTTCCCTTGGCTGGAAAGACGGTTTTCCTGTGCCTGTATACCGGCCGAGTCCGCACTCGACTTCGTGAGAGCCCTTCCGCCACTGAGAACCGATCGTGTCGGCGTGGGTGAAGGAGGTGTCCCTTCTTCATCGTCACCGCTATCATCTCGCTGCTTTGCGTTGCTGTCGAATCGCTTGCACCGAGACCGTGTCTGAATCGGCGAGCGCTTGAATCCTCGCCAGCGTTGGGGCTTGTACGGAGAGGCGCGCGCTTCCTTACCCTTACGCACTGTTTCGGGTATGTTTCTTAGAACGTCGTCGTACTCTACAGCCCAGGTATGGAGACCCGCGGCAGTATCGTGCCAGGAAAGTGAAGGCGGTTCCGCACGCAGGGCCTGAAGAATAAACGCAAAGACCTGCGCAACAGCTGTGCCATGGAGCCCGTTCTCGTCGTCGTCATCAAGAACGTCTAGGTTAGGCACACGCACAGAATAGTATACGATGGTAGGATCATCCGGAATATGTAGGAAGACGAATGCCTCTCCTGTGACACAAATCCATACTGGATGCCTTTGCCGATCATGTACGAGAAGAGCTGGGTCACAAAAGCGGCAACGAGC